TAAGATACTTATAAGATAAGATACTGACCTTTAGCCCATGTACACACCTACTAATGATTTCAGCCTATTCTTCCTTCATGTCTCCTCCCACAATCTCTTTTGGGGGAGTGGGGTTTGGACAAAATCCAGTGGTGCTCAGGGATTACTCCTATATCCTAGAAACTGTTGATGATCAGGGGACTATATGTGGTTCTGGAGAATAAATCCAGGTCAACAACTTGCAAGGAAAGCACTTAACCTGATCTACTATCTCATTGGCCCTCCTCACATAGTTTTTAAAACAATATTTTTCGGATTCTTTTATGCCATTTTATAAATCTTATGCATACTGCCATGTAAGGAACTATTATAGTAGGTCTGTCTAGATCCCCCTTCTTGCTTTTGTTTAGTTATTCCTATTTCTCAAGTTCTAGGTTATACGTTATGCTGTCTGGATGCCACTGGACATCTGTCATTAGGCTAGGCTTAATGTACCCATCTATAGCATATAGGGTTTCCACAGAACACTGGGCATATCTCAAGTGTGACTTCTGAGACCATCTATGGTCATAAAATGATGAGTTTATGTATCCACCTCTGAGAAATAGTTTTAATTTCTCCAGTAGAAAGGGACTCTATCATGCTTCCTCAATTCCTAGAGGATAGTTACAATGCATGGCCTATGGAATGTGCTTAAACTTTTTTTCGTGTTGAAACTCCATGAGATTCAGTTTTGGGTACTTGTTGCTGTCTATACTCACATTCTTGGTGATTGTGTCTGATCTTGTGGTTTTAGTACTTTCATGTGTGTCAGTGAGTCCCAACGAGAGTATCTTATCTGCACAGCTCAAGCATTTTTCCCAAACTCATATATATGATTAACTCCTTTACATTTTATAAGATGTACAATAGACATATTACACTAAATTCAAAATTTAACTCCCAGTTGCTCCATTGTCCCTAAGTCTGCTCTACATGCAGCTTTCTCATCTCAGTTGGTGGCAACACCATCTGTCCAGTGGCTCAGATAATAACCTTGAAGTCACCCTTGAGCCTTTTCTTCTTCCACACCAAATTTATGTGTTAAGAAATTCTGTTAGTTATATCTGGAAAATATAATCAGAGTCCTATCACTTCTCACCACTTCTACTGCCACACCCTGCCTGCGCCCCCACTATCTCTCACCTGGATTACTGCAATGACTTTCAAACTGCTCTATGTTTACTCTTGCCTTCAGATGTCTATTCTCAACCTGGTATAAGTCTTTTGAATTAATGTCATTTGCCATCTCAGAAAATCATCTCTTGTCTTTGTAAAACTCTGCACGGCTTTTCATTTCACTCATTCATTTTAGAGTAAAAGTCAAAGTTCGTATCTTCCTTATTTAAGGTCAGATCCCCTTTATTTCTCCAGTATCATTTTCAAGCACTTTTACTCCGTGATGAACTTACTCTCACTACCCTTAGCCTCTTTATCCACACTAGATATATTGCTCACTTGATCTGAAATTTTCTCTAGGTTGACTCCATTCTCATCTTCTGATGAAGGGCTAGTCTTTTATTCCACTTTACAGTGGGAACTTTTCCACTTTCTGTTCCTAAAACATACCAACTCCCTTCCTTACTCTATTATTTCTTTCCTCATGGTACCAAGAGGATTTTATTATCCAAAAGTCATATTTTCCAATATTACCTGATCTTTATTTTCTTTTGTAGTCTTGCACTTACCCTTCCCACCAACCAAACATAGAGTCTAATTTGCCTGCTCCAGAATGTAGATAGGTAAATGCCATCAACAGAATGTGGTAAGAGCGATGCTATGTGCTGCCCAAACATAGCTCACAAAGAGCTAATAAGATTTTCATTCTGTTGGCTGGGAGGAACACCTGCAGAGTTCTGAGCAACCTGGTAAGAAGTCTGACTCTTGCAACACACCCTTCACCGGAAGCAACCGACTGAGAGTTCAGGTGACATTACCAGTCACAATACATGAGAGCACAGACACTTTCATATGACTTCAGCACAGAGTCTCGAAGTCCTCTGAGTCAAGGCTCCAGGTAGCATGATCAGAGAAGGACTATCTCTATTGTTCTCTGTCCAAATTCTTGACTGAGAGTCAGTGAGCACATTGCGGTGGTTATTTTTATGTTGCTTGGATATGGGGTGTTTTATGTAACACAGCAGACAGTATTTTGCACTGTTAACATGATATATTATTTATATAACATATTACACTAAGCTATTGCAAAATAACTTTAAAGTCTATTGCTTATTCTCTATTTCACCTGCTAGAACAAAAGCTTTATAAAAGACATAGATCCTTTATTTTGTTCACTACATACTCCCAAATGTCTAGAAAAATCCTTGGGAATAGTAAATACTCAAGAGATATTTATTGAACACATTTGTAAGTGATTGTACAACTGAACTGCATTTTCGAAGACACAGCTTGCTATAGCTGAGGGGTCCCTTTTATGTTGATTTGTCAAACCCACTCATTTGGAATTTTTTTTTTTAAAGAGCAGGAGGAACAGCAACGAACAGCCCAGAGTGCGAAGGAGATTTAGAGGCCCAGGAATGTCATGTTTACAAGAAGACACCGTTTCGTAGATTTGTGACTTTTGTGCTCAGTGTTTATTTTCCAGACATCATGGGAGTCTTGGTGATCAAAGGAATATCCAGCCATAGTATAGAAAGATAGACCAGCACATTATAGAAAGATGCTCATTAAGGAATATTTCCAACGTTCATTAATCAAAGAAATGGTGTTAACTAGAACTTAAGTATTTCAGCTAACCAGCTATTGTAATTTGAGCTAACTGAGGGCAAAGTTCTTCTGACTACAGATATTTCTGGTTGAGGTTCAAATAATAGAACAGTGTACATTGTTTCTTTTCCTCTTTACTATGACATGTTCATATCCTTGTTAGAAAGTTTGAAAAACACAAAAGAGTACGCACACAAAAGAAATGTAAAACATCAACCCAAACCCAACCAGACGAGTGTTGTGACTTTTAAGAGTGATAAGATTCTGGGAGTGAACGTACTCCAAAAAATCAAATATATTTGCATTTGTTTAGTGTTCCTCAGGCTTAGGCTATTATCCCTCTTCTTGATAAACCGTTACACATCTCTCTCAATGCTATTTGAAACCTTAAAATAAAGTCAGTATCACAACCAATGTCTTATTCGACCACCATGGTGATGAACATACTTTTTACAAACAATGCACCATCTGCTGACATTCACTCACCAAACATGCCTCTATCCCTTCACATAAGCACCCACACTGGTGTAGGTCTCATAACTTAGAGAACTTGAAATCACAAACTTAAAGAGCCCTTAGGAAACGAAGCCAGAGTCTGGAGGTGGAAAAGGTCATTTGTTTTAACTCCTCATACAATATCCTTATAAATCTTATAGGTTGAATATAAGAAAAATTCTATTTTTCGTAGAACATATTTAAAATTATCTGCTCGTTCTCCCGAGCTGGTAATTAAATTACTCACATCCATTGACACAAACGTTTTTGTTCTCATAAATGTGTCAAACTTGCCCCTTGCCACGAGGGTTTATATCCTCATCAAGTTTTAGACAAGACAGGCCCTTTGAAATCACATTATCCAAACTCTCCATTCACTAAATAAAGCATTTTTTAAAATGCAGGTAGCTAAATGATAGGCTCTGAACCTACAGCTTGTTGTCCTGGAACCCAGCTGTCTGGACATCTCCAGTTTAGCACAAATTTCATGACCTCACATCTTCTGATATCATGCTTGGTAAGCTCTTTTTTTGAAAATTGTTGGAGAGAGAAACTTAGGATTATGAAGAAGTCCAAATGTGCAATGAATGGATGTGTTTTCACTGCACACAATGAAACTGAACCTATCATATTTAGGGCACATACTGCATACAAAAAATATCCCAACCAAATGAATGCATGTTTTTGCACTTAGGGCCTGGTACACAAGAGTGAAAGATATTTTGGTAAGGTAGGATGAGAGGAGGAGAGAGGAAAGGCAGAGGGAAGAAAGAAAGTCTTCTTTTCAAAGTTGGCTGCAGCTGGCTTGGGATCTACACTAGGAGGTTGAAGGACTTTTTCTGTGGGAGTAGGATACTCTTTTGTACAGAAAAACATCTCAGGGAAAATTTTCTTCTATTTTATTTTTCTTGTTGTTTGGGGAAAGGTGGGCTTTAATGGGCAAGGTCTAAAACAGATGTAGTGAGAATAAGAAAGCAAAAAAATGTTCTGCATAATAAAATAAGGGGAGAGTGGGAGTTCATTTATCTGTTGATGGGAAGTAGGAAAAGAAGTGGGTGGGCAGTTTTGGGGACAGGAAGAGAACTTTTGAGAGGAGAGTGGGAGACACAGGCAGGAGACCAGAACCTTGGAAGAGGTGCGTTATATTTTAGGCAGTTCCAGTGCTCTGCTCTGAGCTTTCTGTTATACCCATCAGGCCTGGGTAACCAAACCACCTGCATCAGTGATAATTTGGGGAGGGCAAGAGGAATTTCTGATGTAGTTTTGCAGGGAAGGTGGGGGGAAAGAAAAAGAGAAAAAGAGCAAGAAAGAGAGAGAAGAGCAGGTTCTGAGTTGGAGAAAAGGTTAGGAGGGGGAGAGGGAGAGAGACAAAGAAAGAGAAAGAAAGTGAGAGAAAGTGTGTGTCTGTGTGTGAGAGAGCGGGAGAGAAAGCACACGCGAGAGGAGCAAGCTCTAAGCCCAGGTAATAGAAGTGGGGAGGCTGGGTAGAAGACACAACCAAAGTATGATCATGAGGCAAGAAGGGGCCAGTAGTAAGTGAACCTTTCAGAAATCACAGGCAGGGAGAGGCACTGGCTGTTCTACCATACAGGGCTGGGAGTTTGAGCCATTTCATCTTTCCCTTGGAGGAAAGTGTGAATCCGAATGGACTCAGCAGATCTGGGTGGGGTCTCTGAGAGGGTCCATTTTCAACTTGCACCCAAGCAGTGTGGATGTTGCCAGTCCAGCAAGGCTTTCATGCCCAGTGTCTGATCTCTTACCTCATATTCTTCCTTGAACCCATAGCCCTGGCCTCTCTTCATCTGCGTGATGTGCTGCAGCAGGTCGGCCACCCGGATGGCCGGCTGGAACTGGTCCCGAGGATAGCTCATCTCCACTGGGTCACAGGCCCGGTAGGGGTGCGTCTGGATGGTGAGGGTGGGCTGGGACAGCTCCCCACGGCTGCCATCTGCTTCAAAGAGGAGAGGGACCATGACATAAGGGAATAAGGTTCCTGACTTCCCTCCTCTCACTAAGAGTTGATGTGCACAGAAACAACCACCTCAGGACCCCCACACCCCGCTGGCCCCCATATAGGATCAGACAACTATATGCTGCTCCCCTGGTGTGGCTGTTATGCAGTTGAAAAATCACATAGAACAAACCAATGCACACGAGAACCCCAGGTTCATTTCTATTTCCAAACCACATGCTGATCGAGAAAGCCAAAGCTCCCAGTGGGCTCCCCAGCCTATGTCAGCCTTTCCTTTAGGCTCCTGATGGGGGTCTGGCCTCTACTAATCCCAGGGCCACTGAGAGGCCAGAGGGGTGAATGATGGCAACACCCTTCTGTCTAATGGGTCAGGGGTGTGGAAAGGGACTGGGGTGACTCCCACATGGGGAGGGAGGCCTCAGGTCACTGGAAGCAGGGCAACTTGTCTGATTATGGTCCACTGGCTTCTCTAGGAGTTCACCCCCTGTGGAGGAATTGGAGGCAGTGGCAGATGCCGATCAGGGATAAGGCCCTGGCTGACCCAGCTCTGCATGTACACAACTCCCCTTCTTTAGCCTCTGTCGCCACTGCCTACGACCTAGTTTCCCCAGCACCGAACACGTTACTCCAAGAGCGTCATGAACCAACCTTACAGGCAGAGAAGCTGGAATGGCTTCCTCCTGCCTTGCCTGCTCCCTCTCCCAGCTTGAATCCTGGGCTTCGTCTTTGAAATATCTCTCCTTAAAGGGAGACCTGGACTCTGCTGTTAGCCCCGTGACACACACGGGGTTGCTCTAAAGTCTGGCCACACAGGACATTGCCACCTGCTGAGACTGGATTTGAATTCCCCCAAACCCAGTATTAGAAGGCACTGCCAATCCCTGCCAGGGTCTGTTTATTTTCCATGGCACCATCCAGGATCGGTTTCCCCAACTATCTTCTCAAGATGTTGGTGTGCTCTGAACTCACCTGTTGGTGGCAGGGACAACTGATAGAGACTAGCTCCATTTGTCTCTTACAGATGATCTTGGGTGTAAGGTGGCACCCCTCTGCACCCCACTGGGCCTAGCCTCCTTCACTGGTAAGCTTAGTAGATAGTTCTGATTTTGTGAAAGTTGGTTTTTTTTTCCTTCTAAAAAATCTATGTTTCCTCTAGCCATTTTCCTGTCATGTTACAACAGTGCCTCAGACATAGATCTTGACTGTGAAATAAAATTTACCCATGGGGAGCGGGGGGGGGGTGTGTGTGTGATATGCATGAACCAATATAAAGTTTTAGAGTCTGGAGACACAAGGAAGAAGATTCTACGTGTAACATTAGCACATACATTTCAAGTGAAATAAGAAATGAAAGTTTCTCGTTCTGGGATTTTAAGGTAGCAGTGGCATAGCGTCAATGGTGATACTGAATTATGGTGCCAGCAAGGGTCACTTCTTTTCTTTTTCTTGTCCATGGAGTCTGCTGGACATTCTCACTGAGGACTGACCCCAGAGCCTCTGACTCACTCTGGGTGAGGGACTCTCGAAGAACTCAGAGCAACGTGGATGCCACCCACAACAGCTGTGTGGTTAGGAGGAACCATCTGAAACACCAGGATAGAACTAGAGCAGCTGAGGTATGTGGAATGGGACAGTGGCAAAGTCCAAAGTGCTAGTGTGAGGTTCGTCTAAGAAGGTTATGAATGTGCAAGAAACTTCAAGCTTTCCCAATGGTGCAGAGCTGCTGAGGGATTTTAAGAATTCCTTATGGGACCCAGCAGTGTGAAGGGCTTACTCCTGGCTCTGTACCCAGAGATCATTCCTGGCAAGGTTTCAGGGATCTTATGGGGTGCTGGGGTTCAAACCTGGTTTAGCTTAAAACCTGCAAGGCAAGAGCTTTGTCTGCTGGACATTCTCAGCACCAACAGTAAAGGGTATTAAACAGCCACACACACACACACACACACACACACACACACACACACACACACACACACGAATTCCTTATAGGAAAGACATTCTTTCTTGCAGGTATACTAGTCACTGCAGCTAACTTCCCAACAGGCAGACCATTCCTGGGATGGCCTGCTGGACTTAAGGATGGAGAGGATGAGCTGCCCAAGGCTATGCCGAGAGCCCCGGGTCTCCCAGAGAATGAGCCATCACAGAGGAGATCAGGGATCCTCCCAGATAACCCAGGGCTAGGCTGCCTGGAGGACCAGCTGGCTGGCCAAGATAAGCTTCTTAGAAATAGGCACCTGGAAATTTTTGTGAGATGCCAAATGTTTCCAAAACCAAAAAACTATCAATATGCATATTTTCCCTAAACACATTGCTAGACAGACTGTAAACTTGATGTCAGCAAAACCAACATTGGAATGGAAAATAAATGTGTTAGAGATGTAACAACTTGTATTGCTGTCACATTTGTAATAATGTCAATACTGGTGCTAATGATGCTATGAAGGCTCGGAACCAAGGGATTTTCAAGGTTTATTAATTCAACTAGTTGGACTCTCTTTTCCAATGTATCTTACCTCACCTATTCCCTTATTAACCTCCGATAATGCAGAAGTGATGCCTTTTTACACACCCCATTTCACCAGACGTACTATACTTAATTTTCCATCATTAGGTTTAATGAAAACCCAATTTCACAACTCACTTCTCTCAGGAACCTACAAGTAATGCTACATTTTTATCAGCCCCAATTAAAAAGCATTATGATGTTCCTATTCGAGAGGGAGCCTTAAAACTAATGTGCGATTCTGCTGCTAACTCAACAAAGGCGCTGGAATTCACACGGTGCCCATAAAATGAAACTCAAACCAGCTGGCCCAGGGAGAGGGCATTTTTCATTTTTCCTCCTCACCAGACTCTTAATTTTTATGCCATATCAACTCCTCTTGCATGTTTATCCATTGCACAATAATATTTTGGGTTTTTTCTCACATTTTTTTTTGGAGCTGGTACCAAAGTTTGTGCTTTTCCTTCATCCCACTGATGAGGAACTTGATACTTATTGCCCAGGGGAGGTCTGTGGGGTGAGCAGGGAGGATATTTGAGGATTTGGTGGTACACTTGAGCTCCACCATATCCTGTGCCTCTCCCCATTCATCCTCCTTCTTTAGGAGCTTGGCTTTGACCCTCTATTTCTCCAGGTGAGTCTCCCAGGCATTGCTCAGGAGGCCTGCTCCCATGCCCTTAGACTTACCCAGGATGCTCGGCCAACCAAATTGGAAGTTCAATGCAAGGGTCTGAGGATATAGTGCCATTCAAGTTCTGGGGTGCTAGTGCTGACTCAACAGCCCTATCAGGACTGTACCCAGCTTGGAGAACTCTGTGGTTCTGGGGATCAAACTGAGTTCACCTAAGGCATGTGCCTTCACCCCTGGGCTATCTCTCTACTCTCATCCCTTCTCTCATAAATTTCACCACTACCAGCCCTTATTGGTCTCCCTGTAGCCTAAGTCACATACATATTTTTTTTTCAGTCACTTACTAGGATTTGCCACTCCAACTAGTTAACAAATATTTACTGAGTGATTAAATTGAACAAAGTGCAGTGTTAGATACCATGTACATACGGGAGGTGGAAGAAAGTGTATCCAGGGAGATAAATGCACCACAGCTCTTGCAGGAGAGAAGAGATAAGGTGAGTAAAAGCAGGTCTAACAGAGGTGGGAAGGATGAAGTGCCAAGGAAATAGGCAGACGATGTGCTGCAGTTAGATATCCCGGAAACAATTCCCAAGCTGGAGATACTTGTTTTTCACCACAGCTAGAGAGAACTTTAGCACAGCCAGCTTTGCTCAGTAAAACTGTCCATGACGGTGACAAGGTCAACATTGGTGTTGCATAATATGGCAGCTGCCAGACACCTATGCCTGCTGTGACTGAGGAACTCAAGTTTAACTTTTCAGAAGTTTAATCCATTAAAATTTAGATATTGGGAAGTGGTCATGAGTGTGATGTTGGGATTAAGTGCATGAAAAACATTACTAATAGTATTGAAAACCACAGAATCTCAATCAATAAAAAATAATAAAAATATCTGTGTGTGGCTTATGATTAGTATGTTGGGCAGTGTTGGTCTACAAAGATAGGGAAAGGGAAAATACTCTGGAGTTGGGGCTGGAGAGATAGTACAGTGGGCAGGGTCTTTGCCTTGCATGCAGTCAACCTGGGTTTGATCCTCGGTATCTCATATGGTCTTGGAGCATTGCTAGGAGTAACTCCTGACTGCAGAACTGGGAGTAACCCCTGAGCATCACCAGTGCGGTCCCAAACAAAACAAACCCCCCGCCCCAAATACTCTCAAGCTACACCAAAGGGCAAAGAGGTCTGGAGGCAATACTATATGAGCCATGCATATAAGTTGTTCTTAGAGCAATATAAGATAAGGGGGAAAGGAACTGGGGGAATTCATTTCAATAATACATCTGATGTAACCCTAAAGATTCCAAACTATCACTTCAACATTTTTGTAAGTATAATATTATTGCTGGAGCGATAGCATAGCAGGTAGGGCATTTGCCTTGCACGCGGCCAACACGACCGACCTGAGTTCAATTTCTCTGCCTCTCTTGGAGAGCCTGGCAAGCTACTGAGAGTATCTCGCCCACACGGCAAAGCCTGGCAAGCTACCCGTGACATATTCAATATGCCAAACACAGTAACAAGTCTCACAATGTTACTGGGCCTGCTCGAGCAAATCGATGAACAATGGGAGGACAGTGACAGAGACAATATTACTGACATATTTCTCTCTTTATTCACATTTGAAATCACACACATATTTTATATTGATAGAGTATTTCAGTTCTGAATGGCCATAGTTCCGGGATCCCGTGCTCATGGATTAGTGGCCACTGTATTAGACAACGAAGAAATTACTTCTAATTAAGGCAGTTCTAGCACGGCACTGCTGGCCAAAACTTTCTAAAAGGATGGAAGTGCTCTAGAGTTGCAGTATTTACTATGGTAGCTGCTGGTCCACCT